TAAATTAATTTCATGTAAAATTACTCACTGAAGCAAAGACCATTTCTAAACAGTATTATAAAACAGCGTTGTGTCTCAAGTATTTGCTGACCATTGATCTCAGTACTTGATGGATTTGAATGTGTGTAATACAGTTTAAGAATATTTCAGTGTTCCATGTACTATGTGAAACCCTGACTTTGACTGTTTTGGTTCTCTGCTTGAAAATAGACTTTTTTTTTCTCTTAAAACTTAATAGAAATGCACAGAGTCTGCATTAATGTGATGGTTTTAAACACTGTGGCCTGTGTTTGTCTTCTTAGCATAAACTCTGGGAAATGGAACTACACAGATACACATGCACTTAATTGTGTGTATGTATACAAGAAAGAAGAAGATGCCACTTACTGGTTTTAGAGCCCAGAGGTGAATTTTGACAGCTTTCCAGGGAAGCTAAGTTCTTTGGAGACTGAAGTTCCTATGAGATTTGTGAAAATAAGCAGTAGGAAAAGAGAGGGAGGGAGAGGAGAGTATGTGCATTTAGTACTCCCAACAAGGAAGATACTTTTATTCACTTTTACCTTTTGTTAGACACCAGAGTTCGTGTTGAGCACCAAGTATGAGACATAGGTCTGTAGGATGTGTTGAGCTTCATTGATTCTGTCATTTATTATTACCATTTTTTATTGTAATTGCCTGGCAGTCAGGGAGTTAAAAAAAAAAAAAAAAAAAAAAGACACTATTAGTCTTTGGTATTCTGTTAGTGCATGTAAATTCTTAACATTTCACTATCTGAAACATGAGACTGCTATTGGAATGAACTTTTCTTTTGGAAAGGGAACTGCTTGAATGAGTAGCAGAAGGCAGAAAGTGTGTGTGCATGGGAAGGCATGCTGTTCTGTCATTGCTAAGCAAGGTGTAATAAAGATGGTGTTTTTTCTGGCTGAGGAATTGTACTGAATACTAAAAGCCAGCAGATGAGAGTGGGGTCAGTTTTCAGTATTAGAACGTTAAGTGTTTTTGGGCAGAGTTTGAATGAATGATGGTTCTGCAGTGGCTTATATGAACACCTTGTAGAGGGAGAAAGGCAAACCGACAAGAAAAATATTAGTTGTATTTTATTTGTTTAGAAATAACTTGCTTTGCAGGACTGGGGTGTCCTACCACGTGAAGATGCTCACATGAGGTTGTTTCTTCTGATTTCTCAGCAGTGTTCTCCCAGCCTGTATTCCAGAGCCCACAGTGAGTGTGTAGTTCAAGATGTGCTCCTATCTAGCCACAGTTAGAATCACTGAGTTATGTTATTTAAAATGGTGTGGCACCAAATCATGCCAAATATAACACACAAATTTCTTAATAGAAAATAAAATTGTAGGTAAATATCGTTAGTCTCAGATCACCAATGGAGTCACAGGGAGAAGACAACTGCCTGGATTACGGAAGTGCTTTGAAAAAATAATCTAACTCCGTTCTTAGGAGTTTTTTATTCCCTTTTGTTAAGAATTAAAAAAAACCAACACAACCAAAACCAGATTTCCAACACTCACTACTATAGGTATGTTCTGAAAATAAAAATCCTTTCTGCCCCAACTACTGTCAGTCAGTGTGATCTCAGCATGTGAGTTAGAACCTCTCTCTGAGGATCTCAGATACTTTTCTGTGCTGTGAAGAGCACCTGGCTCCTGCCTTAGGTATCCAAAAGTTGTGAAGAGGAATTCAAACCCATGGTTTGTTTAGAATTACGACGACTTGGGGATGGCAGTGTGGTAGTTTACTGGGAATAGCTGTGAAGTATGAGTAACATAGATGTCGTACTGCTTGTTTCTATAATTTGATCATCATCCTTATTGAAGTAATCAATTTACACAGATTTGATTCAGATTCTGATTTTAGGCACTCTTCCTGAATTTCAGTGACATATTTTTCACCTTAGTGCTTTCTAAAGCATTCTTTCTAAAGCATTAGCTCCAATACTGATTGTTTTTTGGCAATGTAAATAATTTGGTCAAGTTAGAACAATCTGAGATTGTCTTTCCTTCAGTGGTGCTACAGTATTCAATGATAGATTCGAAATCCTGTTGTGTATGTAAGTGGCAATGATATGGCAATCTACAGTAGTTTCCAAACAATTTGGTCTTCATACAAATTAATGGAGTGATAATTGTGCATTGCAACCTGTAGATAAAGAACATGGATGTGACATCCCCTTTGTCAAGCAATTCAGCTGCCTGCATAGGCATGCCAAATAAGAAAGCTATGAACAGAAATTGCAGTCAGACTTTTCCAAAAGAAAAACATCTGGATCTGACTGGATGTGTAAAATATGTTGAAATGGTGAGAAATTACATGGAAGAGAGAATAAGATCACTTATGAGTCAGTGTGAGCTGTTTTAAATGTCCATAAAATGCTTTTTTTGTAATCTTGTCAAGTTTCATCTAGTAGATGAACTTTGTAAATCAATTTGTGTTCATCCAGACAGTTAAGTAGATATATCCAGCTTTGTGGGAGGTGACAATGGCATCCAAATGGCTTTTTTGCACCATTGCTGGCTCAGAGGCTGTACCTGCACAGGGATAAGGGTAAATGACTGGGGAAGGTCCCACATTGAGCTTTGTGAACTTGGCAGAGGCTGAAAGCCTGGCAAGATCTTGTCCTTGTCAGCTGGGCAGCTACACGGTGCACGTTCTACTGGCCATGGGTGCTGGTGTGGTAACCTTGACCCACAGTCTCTGCGCTGCTGGCTCTTTGGTTTGATGTAGGCTGCTGTGTTTTAGCTGCTGTATGCTTATGCAGAGGCTGTGATTTTTAACTTTGCTGAACTAGTCAGGAAGAGATAAAACTTGTGTATAGTCAGCTCAATATAGTGAACTAAAATAAACTTTGTTTCTATTAAAGGGAGAGTATTTATACTGCTTTTATCTACTGGTTTAATAACATTTTTTAAAGTCACATCTTCAGGGGTGTGTGGACAATTTCATTGTGCAGATCAGCTCTGCACCCTCTACACTGCGGGTAGTTATTCCCAGACCTCCTTGAATTGGAACTGAGCACACTCAGATATTACTATGATATGGCCACATTCTTTCTGAATGTTTTCTCTGCAGTATATGTAGATCTGTCAGCAAAAGGTGCCTACATAAAATGAATGATTGTTGAACTGAGACCTTAAATATAGCATTGATGTGACGTGATTTTTGAGGGAAAATGCTTTCCTGGAAGAAATTAATCTTTGTGTGCTTTCCCTGAGGATGGCAGTGATTTCTCAAAACATAAGTATTTCTGTCTACTTCACATCTCACTCTAGTACTTCTACCAAGCAGTAGCTCAGTTTTAAGCTCTGTTGCTCTCCAGCTACACTGCATTGCTGCTGTGGAACAACATTTGTGCTGTGTGTTTTGTTTTGTTTTTCCAAAGGATGTATGTGGTTAACAGGGAAGCAAGGATTTCAATTGTTGTTGTGCTAGCATATGCTCCATTAGAATATGCTTTATTATCATTATGGGAGTTTAGCTTTTTGGTCTGTGTGATCAAGTTTTAAGAATAGAACATTGATCATGAGGCTCAGTGAGATCTTGGCAGCGTGTATAGGTAGATGACTGATGGCAATGGACAAAAGCTGTGGAACCAGACTCTTCCTCCAGTGCCCAGCAAGAGGTGAGAAGCAGTGGATAGACGCTGAAATACAGTAAATCCCATTTAGACATAGAAAAACATTTTACTCTGGGCACAACTGAATACTGATACAGACTGCTCAGAGAGGTTGTGGAGTGTCTACCTTGGAGGCGTGCAAAAACTTGAGTGGATGCAAGCATAAGCAGTCTGTTCCAAATGACCCTGCTTGAGCCGGGTGTTGGACTGGAGGGGGGGAGGGAAGGGCTTTCTGCCTTTATGATGCTATGATCCTGCCATAGGTACTGGTCATAGTAAGAAGTATTTTAATTCTAGTACTCCGGTGTTAAGACTTCTTCATTTCATGATATGACACGCAATATAGAATGGCTGCCAATTTTTTCTATGAACAGATGTTGAAGAACAATGTCCTTAAAAACAAAATAAACAAACAAGTGGTCATAGTCATCCATTCAGGGAGAAAGCTGAAAAAAATGCTTTTAAGTAACTCAGTTTTGTATGGTGAATGGCTTAATAATGTTTACTTGTAATTACACCTGTAGGATTTCATATTTTCCCATGAGTGGCAAATAGTTCTGTTCAGTAAGAGACTTCAGAAACCAGGTAGGACTGGTCCATGAGTAATTCGCAGATAGAAAACTCGTTCTTTCCTTTTCTGTGTCAAGTAAGCTTCTCAGCTTCAAAACAATAATATTGTGTTTTTCAAAAAGTATTTTAGAGTCATAGCCTGTAGAGTATACAGAAGAACTTAATTAGTAAGATTCTAAAGGTAAGTTTGCATTAATTTTTGAGAACTGGAATCTAGGCTAAGCTGAGCTCTGTTTCCTTACCTTACAACTTACAACAGTTGATCTTGCCTGAGATATGTCTGAAATAAATATAAAGCTTGTAACATTTTATTCTGACTAAATGTAATTTCAGCTGTAGTCAATGGGCTGCCTTTTTTTTTTTTTTAAACGCTAGCTGAACTTTGAATGTTGCTTAATATTTGAAGTACAGCTTGATTCTAACAGTGCAAATGTGGTTGTAGTGAGGACCCTCTGAGGTGTGTGGTTGTAATAAGGACACATTTGAATCACGATCAAAGGGACATCTCTGCATATAGCCTAAGAAACCTGATTTTAATAGTGTAAAACAGCTGTAGTACCTCTTTCATGACACGTAATAACTTGCTAAAAAGTGACTTCTTAAGAATGAGTTCTCCGTTTACTGAATGTTTGTTTTTATAGAAAAATATTAAGTGCAAGTTCAGCCAGACTTTTTATTGAAGTCTGAAGTATGATCACATACTTTGACTTTCGCTTTTAGCTGTATTTGTCTCTAAACGTGTTTTTTACTGGTATGCTCGTTAATCTCAAAATTTCCTTTTTTTCTTTTTCTTTTTCTCCAGTGGGAAGAGATTAGTGGTGTTGATGAGCATTATACTCCAATCAGAACTTACCAAGTGTGCAATGTTATGGATCACAGCCAAAACAATTGGCTGCGAACAAACTGGATTCCACGCAATTCAGCGCAGAAGATATACGTGGAGCTCAAATTTACCTTGAGGGACTGCAATAGTATCCCTCTAGTTCTGGGCACTTGCAAAGAGACTTTCAATCTGTATTACATGGAATCCGATGATGACCATTTGGCGAAGTTCAGAGAGCACCAATTTACAAAGATTGACACCATTGCAGCTGATGAGAGCTTCACCCAGATGGATCTTGGGGACCGGATTCTCAAGCTGAATACAGAAGTCCGCGAGGTGGGACCTGTTAGCAAGAAGGGCTTTTACTTGGCTTTCCAAGATGTAGGTGCATGTGTTGCCTTAGTCTCGGTGCGAGTGTACTTCAAGAAGTGCCCTTTCACTGTCAAGAACCTCGCCATGTTTCCAGATACAGTTCCTATGGACTCCCAGTCCCTGGTGGAGGTGCGGGGTTCTTGTGTCAATCATTCCAAGGAGGAAGAGCCACCCAAGATGTACTGCAGCACGGAAGGAGAATGGCTAGTGCCCATAGGGAAGTGCTTGTGTAATGCTGGCTATGAAGAAAGAGGCTTTGCGTGCCAAGGTAACGATGCACTCCATGTTCATAGCTCAATTATTAACAGGGCTTTCCCTTTATGTCCCTACTCTGTGTATTGGGTCATGTTAATTTTCTGCAAACTCTTGAGAGAAATAAATTAGTCCATAAAATTGCCATGGAAATGAGGCTTATTTGGTCTGTGTAAATAATGTAATTTAATTTTGAAATATTTGACAAGGTTAAAACATTGATTTTTAGCTGATACATTATGTAGCAAGTGTAGTTTCTCTTACCACTCTTGGAATTTCTTTTGGTAGATTATACCTTTCTCAAATGCATTTGTTATGTTGGAATATGTTGTTTTTTTTTCTGTGAGCGTTTCTTAATTTTGTGTCTGAATGTATAAGTAGTTAATATCTACTGCTGAGCTGCACTGATTAGTTGGGGTTGATCAGAAAAAAATATATACAATTTGTTCAGGTAGTGGTGTAGTACCTAAATGCAGATGCATTTGGAGAATTAATGTTTGAATATCAAATTGCATTTTCATGGAAATGCTCGTGTATTCAACTCAAAATCATTTTCTTCATACTTACTGATTTCTGCAAACTGTGGTTATGTGAATGCTCCCAAGAACAGAGACTTACACCAGAGACGATTTTTTTTTTTTTTTCCAGAAATGCTCTTTCAGATGTTATAAAAATACATAATGTATTTATCCAACTTCAAATATTAATCAAAACACTGGTGGTCTATGTTTTGCTTTTTACAGAAACATGGTGTGGATTTTTTTGACTAGTTAAAATTTTTAACCTCATTTCACAGAGCCTGGCTCTGTTAAATTGTCTTACTTAAGTAAATGAGTAGAAGTTAAATATAAATATCTGGAAAGGTCATAGATGGAGGGAGTAGTAGCTGAGATGTTTATTGTGTGGTGTGATGTGAAGGTATGTATGCAGATATGCACGTATCCATAAGAGCAGAAATTTCAAAGCTATTGATATTTTACTATTCTGAACCTGGCTGAGAAAAGCTTTTTCCTTTCTCATTAGTTTGAAGGCAATCTTATATAAACATAGCAGTGCTGGAGGGCTATTAGGGTCTGACCAAGCCAGAGTAAGTATAGCTGTGTAGTTGTAAAACGTACTCCTCTGATTATGGTGACTTTTTCACAAAAGGACAGGTAAGATTTGTAGGAGAGGAGTAAGAGTGTTTGATTTGATTTTGTTTTTGCTCTGAATATGAATAACGTGAGGAGTTGAGTATTTATTTTTCTGCATTTAGATACAGATACTAAGAACAAATTAAACTGTACTGCTAAGAGCTAAAATGAGGAGAGGATATTTTATTGTGCCTCAGCTAAGGCCTCCTATAGCTAAAAATGTTGGAAAGTTGATAATACTCTTCCAATTACTGCATGTAGTCTTGTTAACTACAAAACCTTTTGTCTTGTGGATAGTTGAAAGCTGTTGGATTAGAATTTAAATTACACATGATCACAAAAAGGCAATCACTGCAGAAAGTGTCAGACTGAAAATGAGCAAACAAGTGGAATTTAATAAAATACGTAAAATCATTTGATTAAGAACAGATTGTCAGGTGCTTGGGGAAGTCTAGACATAGAAAACTCAGCTCTCCAGAGATTAGGGTAATAGTGAGTATATGGCATAGAGTAATAGTGGGTTACCAGGGACATATATGGGTGTATCATGCATGATTTTGAAGACATAAAATCAGGCCATTGAAATACTTTTTTTTTTTTTATTTCCTCCACTTACTCACCAACCACTGATCAAGGGAGCGATGCACGATGAAACCATTAGCAGTAGTGACAGGTCATTCTGGTTTATTCTGATTTAACATATAATGTTCTGCTAACTTTTATTGGAAGTCATATTTATCAAATATTGTTGGTGTGATGTGATTGAAGTGATACTCTAAAAGCAGTCAGTAACCCAAAACCTCTGATTTGTTTGCATCTGTAATCCAGCAGGAGTTGAATTGTTCAGAAAAAGAGTTCAGTTTTAAACATATGTTTCAACCTCAGGCTGATGTTCACTCCTGCATCTATCTTTTTCTTTCTTTCTTCATTCTTTCTCTTTTTCCTCCCTTTTGGGCTGGGTCTTGTGGTTTTTCAGTCACAATCAAGGAGAGCAATGTAATCAGGACTGTTCAGTCTGAAGAAGAGCCAAAATGTAGTGTTGCAAGTATTGGCTGGAATGAAGGCCTTATTGGGGAAAAAAGAAATTGTTCAGTTAAAGTTTGAAATAGTACCAACATAGGAATTTTTATTTTCATAGTGGTCGGCAGCATTTACTAACTTGCAGTGGCCATCACTACTTGATCTCATTTCTTGAAATTAATTTTTGTTTGCTTCTAGAATGTTGTTTTCAGAAGCAGTATTATTTTGCATTAGCAGGAGATCATCACTGATGATTAAAATTAAGGACCCTAACGGTATGGCATCAGCCCATTTAGATTTCATTGAGAACAGTTTCTCTTGAGCAGTTATGAAGGCATAGTCATGCTCTCAAATGACACAAGCCTTTTTTTGTCATTGGTGTGATACAAACATAACCACATTTGACTCTGAAAAGCCTAGGCTGGACTACTAGGCTCATTAAGCATCTTGGTTCTTGTTGGTTAGGTTGTTGTTATGCTCCTGATCCTACCAACTAATCCCTATTTTACAACTTACTCAGCAGTAGGAAGCCGACTTGTTAAAGAATTGGGACCCATTTTGTCATTACCACACTTGTCCTCACTGTTCTGAGTGTGTGGAAAAATGATTTATCCAAAGCTAATTGTTTATCCTCTCCCTAAGGAATTCTGGTTTTCATAATCTATGTGAGTTAACAGTATGAGAATTAACACCTATTACAGCAAATATTTTTACACTTGTTAATTACTTTGTAGGAAGTGGTTTCATAGAAGTTAGAGAAGATGTTACATTTGGACCATTTTGGAAAAGCCATTTTTTCATAGTTTTTTTTTTCCTGTTAGCTATGTTAGTTATAATTAGTTAACTAAATATGATGCCTGTAATCCATTGTTTACTATTCATTATTGAAGCTTTGTTAACACATACTTCATAGTCATCCTAATAAATTATATTTTAATATTTTCTTGTTGAAAAGAACAACTTTACAATATCTTTTCCAAATTGTCTTCATGCCATCCTGATCCTTTATAGCATCTTCTCTGTTAGAATTACTGCTTTGACTTGTTTCAATTAGAAAATAACATGTGGTTGGAACTACACAGTGAATGTTACTCTTTCCGAGATTCTTCTGTCAGTTCCCCAGTCAACAGGGTTAACTCATCTTTTCCATTTTATCCATTAAAAAACAAAAACAAAAACAAAAAAAAAAAAAAAACAACCCACAAAACCTAGTGAATTAGATCCAAAGGTTTATCTGCCTTAATGTCCTTTCTCTGATAGTGGCTAATAGCAGATTCTTGAGGGGGAAAAAACAAACACAACTGTACGTAGCGCTACTTTTCTGGGTACATCTTTCATCTTCTACCAATCAGCTTTTTTCTTGCACAGTATTAAGATGTGTCTTGTAAGAAATACTATTTAATAGGAACCAGTATCTTGCCACCTGTTAACTTGTCTACTTTTTTGACTCACTTATTTTGGGCGTCTTTAAGTTTATATGCCCACGAATGTGATAGCTAGTCTTGCGTAGGAAAACATACCTTCTTGCTGTGTGTAAGCCTTATGTTTAAAGTCATTTAAATAAGATTTACCATATCCTTTTATAGTGAGAAAATAACTGTTGCCTTTTTAGCTTGGGTATTAATGATAGTCTTGATTTATCTTGTCTACTACTTGCTCTGTATTTTCCCAGCTCTAGGTCTATTTTAGTGCCTTCTTATTTGGAGGACAAGCTAATTTTTCCATACTTATCCTTTTTGACTGAGTTATCCATTTTGATTGCCCTTTACCTACTCAAAATAATGCGGCCTTTATAAAAAGGACAATGAGGCTGGCATGCAATATCCAAGTTACAAATACACAAAGAACTTATGCAGCGGCATAGTGTTTGGAAAGGAGCATTCACATCACCTGTCCAGTTAGTTATTTGTATGTGGAGACACTAGGCTCTGTTGGGTTTTGAATGATGGAGGAAACAGACTTCATTATGCGAAGGTTGGCTAGTTAGGGTAATAGTATCAAAACAAATGGGTAAATATAGGATAAACATTAGAAAAATTGTCTTTACTGTTAGTTCTGTAATAATTTGGTTGGAGAAATATTGGAAGACTCATTTCAGGAGATGTTTTTTTTTTTTTCTAAAGCAGTAACCAGATGATAAAGGAAATCTTGTACTAGCAGGGTTGGACTAATAAACCTCTTCCATCCCAAATGTGTCTATTCTGTTGTTGATTTATTTCATGCACTTTAGAAAGCCTAGCTGGACATGAACCTTTTTTACACTGATATTATCATATAATTAGCAAACATGCAGTGGGCAATTATATACCTACATAGAGCTGTGAGCTTGAATGTTCTTTTGAGTACTGCTGATAATGGAGGCTTTCACTGAAAAAGTCTTTGTGACTCACCATCAAGTGGAAGGTGAAATTGGTGTGCCTGAAAGGAATGGCTCACTAAGCATTGAATTATGTTTTCAGCACACTACCATGTCAGTGGTTAGTTCTAAATTTTAGTTGCTGGAACTCCAGTAGATCCGAATTGTACATTTTCTCATGATGCTATATAATAAAATCGTAAGTTTAACCTCAAGTGACTGATACATTGTCTATAACAAAGCCAGAGGAAAAAGAGAGGTTTTAATCTGATGGTCCTTTCCCTGTGTACATCATTTTTAGCAATTAATCATGTGGGCTGAATTGGAGGAAAGGGAGCAAGGGGTGAGGGAGGGAGAGGTGAAGCGTGCCTGGTTATTGAAAAAAAGACTCCACGAAATCTCAACTAACACTAAATTATTCAGTGCTTTAAGTTGTGTATATATATCCCAAATCATATTTCTCTCTCTGTGAGTTTCTGGTGATACGAAAGGAATGCCATCTGTGGC